AAAACCTCATTTCTAGCACGCACTACTTCAATGAATTTTTCTATTTGACATCTTAATTTTTTAGCAAAAACAGGATTACATGTGCCTGATTTAGCATCCTCTAAAAGAATATTGATCAGAAGATCTTTGTATGTATTCCAACAAGATGGGAATACAAACATATCAGGTATTGAAAGGAAAATTTGCTGTGGAATAAAAAAATGGATTAATATAATAAATAACAGAAGATCTTTTTTTTTTTTTAAAAATAAATAAATAATATATCTTACCTGTAGCATTGATTTTAAAGAATGTATTACACCTTCAAATTTTGTAACAAGATTTGAATGTTGATGTATCTGGAATATTTAATATATAGATTTATATATATACACATACACATATATATTAATTAAATTAAATTAAGCTAAAATTGTTAATCTTCACAAACACGAAAAAAATATTTTACATAATTTAATTTTTTTAGTAAAAGCTCTATCAATAATCTCATAAGAGTTCGAGATTTTTGGTATTCATCCATGAATTGTTGTATAAGTAGTAGCCACATTGAAGTTTGTGAAAACTCTGGTGCATCAAAAGCATCCAATATCCATCTAAAAAAAATTTGACTTATTAAACCATCATTATATTGCCATTTTGCAAGTGAAATACTAAATAATTAAATAATTAAATAATTAAATAATAAATAATCATTATAATTATCATTATTGTTATCATTATCATCATTATCATCATCATCATCATCATTATTGTGACTATAACTATTATAATTATTGTGATGATATTTATTAGAAAATTTCTAATAAAATATTTAAACATTACCAATATCTCCATCTTTCAGAATCATAATCATTAGCTTGTACAAGAAGAAAGTCATTAAAAACTTTAGTGTAATCTACTGGATGGTCTGATTTATGAGCCTTCTTAAGAGTATTACAATATTCAATTAATATTACATTATATTATATTATCAAAAAATAACTCATAATCAATTTGATTGCTTTAAAAATCAGTACCGGAAATGAGTTTATCAAAACGATTTTTGTAAGCCATGTTGCACGAGCTAATGGTACCTTATACTTGACAATATCTTCCAATAAATTCATACCATCCATGCTAAGAAATTTATTTGCAAATGTTTTCTTAAATATTGATATTATAAACAATCTAATAAATAATAAATATTCACATACGTGTTGGGAATAATTTTACTTAATTTTTTCAAAGGTACATTATTGGCAAGATCTCTTAACCATTTTTCTTTATTGTCATGAGGCATCCATTCAGTTTTTAAAGGTTTGAATGTATTTTCCCTAAATCATTAAATCATTATAATTAGTGAATTATAAATACAATGAATATTCTGAAGCCAATCTAACATACTAACACTTCATATTTGTTTGTTTGATTTTTATTTAATTTTATTATGTCTGACATCATTTCACCGAGATTACTGAGATCTTCTTTCCAGGATGTATACTTTGATTTAACATTTTTGAATTCTTTTTTGAATGATCCAGTCTCATCTTCAAAAATCGGAGTGTAGGCGTATCCTTTCTTTACATTTTCTTCTGTCATTTGATCTTCGGGTTTATCCAATAAAGTTGGATAAAAATCCGGGTGTCCTGGTTAAATAGAAAGAATTGAAATATTATGAGCATTGCCTGCTACCACATACAAGATTTACAACAATCACTTTATATTCAGTAAGAGAACAGCAGTTACTTACCTAGATCGAATGTTTTGTGTAAGGGAGGTAAATTTTTTGGTGGGAGAAGACGATACTTGTTTAATGAAAGTGCCATTTTCGTAAAGCTGTTTGAAAATTGAGAAAATTACAAAAATAGAG